TCCTGCTGCTGCCACCCCCACCACAGCTGTTGTTGTCGTCGATGCTGTTGCTGTTGTTGTCGTCGTCGTTGTTGCCGTGGTGTTTCTAGCTGCGTGCGTACGCAGTATGCATTTACAGTTATAGACAGGCACACACGCAAACATACTACAAAATGTATTTCCATTAATACGTTTCAATTAACATTCAATGTCATTAGACAGGAAGGAAGACAGCAACAACACGACGACAAGACGATAACAATGTATATATAAGATTATATAATATATATATATATATATACATATATAAGATTATATGTAAAATTATTATGGATTGATTGTGTTGGATGTGAATGTATATTTGATGTATGTATATATATATGTATATATATACTGTATATATACTATATATATATACATATAATTACATGCATATATATATATATGCATGTAATTGTATATGCGTAGACAATAGTGTATATAGTACGTAAAAACCGATGGCTGACTATAATTGCTGTTGCAAACAGTACATTGTTGGGTCTCCGTTTCAATCTTTATGTGTCACATTTGCTTTAAAGGCCTGAAACCAGACACTGTGTCAATTCTACTTGTGTTATACGTTTTGATACCAACTAGGATTTTATGTGCATGTGCAACACTGTATTGATGACGTTGTCTGTCAGTGTTTGCCATTTAAATCTCCCAATACATTAGCGCAAGTTCCTGAATTTTATTTTCATTTAACAACAATAAGCAGAAAGTGCATTCATTTAAACCAATCACTATACATCTGGCTTAAACAACATTTGAGGTAATTATAGTGTTTAATAAGGAACACAAAGGTTTTCTGAGATAACCAGTCTTATATCGACCTTCAGGCTGTCATCACAGTTGGGAGGGGGGGGGGGGTTGCATGTGTATGTTTACAATCAGCCATGTGCTCCCTATCCCCCTATCCCCTCTCCTTTCTTCCCCATCTCCTCTTATGGCAGTCACAGCAGACCTCAGCTGACAGACAGCCAGCGGGAAAAAAAACGTGAGCAGAACATGACCCTGCTGCAAATGTTTGAAGGCGATTTCTGTCCCCCTCCCCCTACTTGGCAAAGCTTTTCACGTGCACTACAGTGGAAAACAGTCTTATGCAAACACTGCTTCATGTAGGCCTATAGGCTCAACAGTCTGTATGATGAGCCCCCAACCAAGCCATTTACACTAATGTTGTTAGATAATAAAATGTCCTCATGCTGTTTGTTTCAGACACAACATTCTACAGGGCATTATAGTGTGTTCATTTATGAGGGTTTTTTTTTAAAAATAGGTGTTTTTATATTTTTGTACTCCGGTGTCATTGTGTTTTGTCTTGTGTTGTAGCCATGTCTATATTTAAAATCTTGATTTTGATTGACACGGGTAAATAAAGTAGCAAACAAAGTCACAATTTTCCTTCCTCTTAATATAATTTATCTTACTGTAACTTTTACGGGGCTAACTGAGTTCATACCGCTAGCAATCAACGACTTGGTAGGCTACTGTGTGTTATAGTACTAGCGTACGTCTGTCTGTGAATGGCTGTGTTTGCGTATATATGTGCGTGGGGTGCGCGAAAGACAGATAAAGGTAACGAAAGTTCAGAGCAATTGTAGTGTTGAAGCGTGAGTTGGTCTGTTTCTATTTACCTCTGCTGCGGACAAGCACGCAAGTGAAGGGAGTTAGCCCTTGGATATGCGCCTCACCTGTCATTTTGACGTCATCATGACATCATCAAGTAAAATCCTAACATGGATAAGACTACATTCCTACCTTTCCTGTTCTTTCTCTGCATTATACCACCTATTCTAGTCATCTTCCAGCACCCACTTAGTTAGCGTTAGCATTATACAGATATGG